CCTCAGCCTTCCAAGTAGCCAGAATTACAGGCATGCGCTACCACGCCCGGCTGATTTTTTGATATATTGTAGAGATGAGGTCTCGCTGCCCAGGCAGGTCTCGAACCCACGGGCTCAGGCAATCCACTCACCTCAGTCTCCCAAAGGCACGGGATTACAGGCTGAGCCACCGAGCCCGGCTCCATCCCGGCTTTAAAGGGAGGGAAATGGATGCTGCTTCTTGGTAAGAGGGGCTGCAGAGAATTTATGGTCCTTCTCAGACTACCCCAAGGAGGCTCCAGTGATCAAGAAAGGCTTGATGTGCGGAGCATTAAGCTGCAGTTCTGGGAGTTGATAAGATCTGACTGAGATGAAAGAGAAGGGGTGACATTCCAGGCAGGGCAGTGTGAACCAGGAGTGGAGGTGGGTAGGCCATGTTTGGGAGGCCTTCATCCAACCAGTCCTGTTGGAGGAGATGGTACATGAGACAGGCCAGAGTTTATCAGGCCAGGGAAGATAAGACAGGGGGAACCGGGTAGATTGAGGGTGCCTTGAAGGCTAGACTGAGAATTTGGTTTGACACAGCAGATGAAAGGGAGGCACAGGATGGCTGCGGGGCGGTGGGTCAGGAGGTGACACTGAATGCCACTGCCTGCAGCATCATCCCCCACCCAATGTCTGCCCTTCGTGGTTGGAAGCTGATCCCTGGGTGGTTGGCCCTCATTCCCCTTTCTCCTATCCCTGTCCACCACCGTTAGAGGGCATGAGACCTGTCATCACTGATGGCTGCAGGGTGCTGGGTCCCTGAGGCCTGTGGCTGCCTGCTCCTGGCAGAGGGAGTGGCAGGACAGTGACTTTCAAACTGGAGCTGGAAGCAGGATGTGCTGCTGTCAGCTCAGGGTGGGGAAGTGCTCCTGGTCCCCCAGTCTGCCACTGCTGCTGCAGCTCTACTCTGGGTTCACCAGTCCATGCCCTGTCCTAGGGAAACACTTCCAACATGGTGAGCCCCATGCGGCTACAATGGTGGGGATATTCACTGGGCACTTTCTCTGCACCCGTCCCTCAGACTGAGAGGATTCAATGAGGTCTCAATTCTGTAAGGTTGCTATTGTTCTCCTGACCATCTTGCAGATGAGGAAACTGAGGCCAAGGAGGTTTGTACAGTCAGTCGATGGCAGCACCAGGGTTGAGGCCAGGTTGGTCTGACTCTGAATCTTGGTCACACAGTATTTTTCCTCTCATTGTCTGCATGAGCACCCCAGGCTGATCAGAGATTTAAGAGCAAACCTAAAGCTACCCCTACCTTTAGCTGCCACTGAAAAGCCAGGTCCTCAGCCAACAAGCTGGCCAGGAAGCTGTGAGAGGCCAGGTACACAGTGGAGCTCTGGCTTCCCTCCCTAGTCCCTCCAGGTCCCATGACAGGCTGAGGTCTCAGGACGTCACTGTGCGAGTCTGATGATTAGCAGCGGGGCTAGGAGGCTTTCACTGCACGGGAGCATTGCGTTCCCACCTGCCTGGCCCCTGGACCTCTGGGCAGCCTTCTTCCCAGTGGGCAGGTGGGGCCAGGCCCCAAGGAGTGGCCTGAGGGGCCTTTGGATGGTTTCATCTGTCCTCCTCTACCAGGTTGGTGTTTCTCTCTGTTCTATGAAGTTCTATCAACTGAGCAGTCCTTTGGGTTCAGATTCCTTCTCCCATTGAAAGACACAATCTTCAGCAAATCCTTTTTGGCCAACATAAACAACAGATGGCCCAGGAGGGAAGGAGAGAGAAGCTTTGTCCATCACTCCTTCACTCCTTCCACAAGTCTTGGGTTGCCCACTGACTGCATGGGGACAGGCACATGTGAGGCTCCACAGGCCAGGCCTAGGCTTGCTATGGCACTCCAGGCACATCAGCACCCTCTTTAGGCCTCAGTTTCCCCCTTCACAGGATGGAGGAGGAATATATGTTTGGAACCATTGACTTCCAGGGGCCCCATCCTGGGGTCTGAAGGGGACAACCTCACCTACCCAGGGGCCTGAGACAAGCCTGGTGGCTTCTATAGTCCCATAGGCCCCAAAGCTGACAAAGTAGCAGAATCTTTATAAATGAAGACTCCCAGGCCTTATCCTGAAGGGTCCCAGTGAGTGAATATGGGGTAGGCTCAGGGGCCTATAATTTTTAAAATTCTGCAGATGGTTCTGAGTTGAGATCAGTGATTTTTGGTCCTAGGTGCACCTTAGAGAGTTATAACAACTCTTAGTGCCCAGGCTTCACTCAAGACCAATCATACCATAACGATGGAGGTGAGGCCTAGGCATCAGTTGTTTTTAAAGGTCCCAAAATGAGGCCAGGCACAGCGGCTCATGCCTAATTACCCAGCATTTTGGAAGATTGAGGTGGGAGAATTGCTTCAGCCCAGGAGTTCGAGACCAACCTGGGCAACATTGTGAGACCTGGTCTCTACAAAAAATAAAAAAGTTAGCCAGGCATGGTAGCTGTAGTCCCAGCTACTTGGGAGGCTGAGGTGAGAGAATCACCTGAGCCCATGAGGTTGAGGCTGTGGTGAGCTATGATGGTTCCCAAGGTGGCCGCAGTGAGTACTGAGGCTGTAAACGGCCACGTGGGTCAGCCAGAGGGCGGAGGGAGTGCTCCCATCTGCCTGCCTCACCTCCTGAAGGTGAAAGCTGTACCTCTGGAAACTCTGACCACTCTCAGGCCAGCTCCACATTTTCTTCTAGCAGCTGCTCCCTCAAATGGATGAGGCATGGACAGAAAGGCCGGATGAGTGGGGCCCTAGTCCTAGGACCCTGGGCAAACCCCCTGTCTTGCATGGACTTCAGTTTCCTCAACTGCAACAGGAGGACTTGGGCACATGGTTTTCAGAATGTGTTCAGAGCATGGGATGGCTGTCCTGGGCACTACTTCTGGGCAGGGACACTACCCTCCGGGCTCCCAGTCCTTGGCCCTGGTTCTCCCGGAGCAGCTCTGATCTCAGCCTGTCATTGCTGAAGCCTCTTCGTGCTTGAACAGAGTTCAGGAGCTAAAATGATTTGAAAGCTGTTAGTCTAGATGACCCATGCTTTCTGTCCAGCTCTGAAGGTCTGCAAATATCGACTTGTTCCTTGCCCACGTATCCGTCACTCTTGTGGTCTGGAACCTCCCCCTGGAACCCACTCTCTGTAAATTCTGCTTGATTTGCCAGGCACTGAGGTTGTCCCGCATCTGGTATTTCTCCCCCACTGAGCTATGAATTCTTGGAGCTGGTTCTTACTTCGACTCCTAAACATGACATGAATCTGCTGAGCTCCTGCCTGCCATGTTGGGTGTCAGGACACTGTGGAGGACAGACTGACCAGCCGTCCTCCACAGAGCATGGCATTAGTGAATGAGAAGGATGACACGGAGCAGTTGCCCAGCTCTACATGATGTGACTGGGATGTGCAGGGGCCATGGGAGCACAGCGGGGCACCTGGTGAAGCCTGGTGGCAGAGAAGCCTCCCAGGGAGGGGAAGTGAAGCCTGCCTCGATGAGGGAGCTGCATATGTGGAGACTGGAGGGTGAGGGAGGGGCTGCGTTGCAGACAGGGAGAGGCCTCGAGGGAGGGCCTGCAGTGTGGACTGGAAGAGGCCTTGAAGGAGGGTCTACTGTGTGGAAAGGGAGAAGCCCTGAGGGAAGACTGGTATGGCCTGGGAGAGGCCTTTGAGCCTTTATCCTGAGGGTAAAAGCAGCCCCGATGACTTCAGTGGGGCATGACTGAGCAGGTTTTCTGCCCTGTGGGACCCTCTTCTGTACCCACTTCTCTAGCAGGGGTATGGGACTGTTGCCCAGCAGGGGCTCAGAGAGTCTGGGTGACAGGTGTGTTTGGCAGATGACAGGCTTGGTGGTGAGGAGTCACATTCACACAGTGGCGTGTTGAGGGCTGCTGGGGTGGCAGGGGAGATGCCAGTGTTTGAAGCCTGGCCTGCTCCCCGCTTCGGTTCTGCCATGACCCTTGCCCACCCTGGCAGCCCTTTTCCTGGATTCCAGTTCCCAGCCCAGGACAAGACCCAGTTCCCAGGTGAAGACCCACTGTCTACCTGTCCCAACTCCTCAGAGGCCTCTGCCTGGCTTCTCTTGGCTCTCGGGCTCTCTGGGGCCACACTGGCATGTGGGTTGCTCCATGGTCCAGCCCCTACTCAGGCCCTGGAGCACCTTGCCACCTGCCTGCTGCCCCATGCCCCCTTACCATCCCTCCCTGTCTGTCTCCTTCTGGCCCAGTTTCTCGGCTACCTGAGTGCCTGTGACCGGTTGCTGCATCAGGGCTACGAAGAGGGCCTGGTGGAGGAGGCCATGGAGATGTTCCAGTTCTCTGAGAGCCAGGTCAGCAGAGCCTTATTCCCTCACCCTGGGGGATAGGAGGGATGGGGTGGACCAGTTCCAGTCCTCAGAGCTGGCCTGTGGGAGACTGCCAGCCTGCTCACCCTGGCAGAGCCTGTGAGCTAAAGCCAGGCCAAGTGGGAGGAGCAGGGGAGCCCAGGAGGAGGTGGGAGACAGAGAGGAGCAGGGGCTTGGTTTTGTTGAACTGAGTCAACACTACAAATACTGCTGACTGTCCTCTGCATCAGACACCAGGTGGCGCCTGGGCAGCGCACAGATGCCTGGTTTCTCCAGGGAGAATGCATTCAGCTGTGGGTCCAGAGCATCTTCTGAGAGTCTGTGGATGCTTGGGGTCCCATCCACAGCTGACACAGTAGCTCTTCCGGGAGGCAGAGGGGGCTGAGGGTGGGCAGTTGCTGAGGGTGGGGTAGTTTCAAGTGCTTGCTGGGAAGAGGAAGGTGGAGGCCGTGCTGGGACCCTGGCAGTGCCTGATCAGGCCCCAGCTGTCTCCCAATGCCTTGTGTGTAGCCTTCCTTCCTCTCCTGCCCTGTACACTACCGTGAGGAGTGAGCAGAAGGGGTGGGTGAAGCCAGGAAGCTGCTGGGGCCGGGCTGGGGCCTCGGCGGAGGAAGGAGCCCAGGGCATCCCAGAGGTACAGGGCTCACCTGGCCTGGAGGGAGGCACAGCTTTCTGGCACGAGGCACAGTGGGTATCGGGGCAGGGCCCCCATGATAGAGGCTGGGCCTGGTAGACCCCTAGAGCCACCTCTCCCTCCTCCCCTCTCCTCCTTTCCCCGCTGCAGGCAGGGGAGTTCCTGCGCCTTTGGGAGCAGTTCAGCGACATGGGCTTCCAGCAGGACCGCATCAAGGAGGTGCTGCTGGTCCATGGCAACTGCCGGGAGCAGGCCCTGGAGGAGCTGGTGGCCTGTGCCCCATGACCACCAGGCTCCTCAGCGTCCAGCCCGCCAGCATAGCCTGTAACCCATCCCACTGCACGGTGAACCTGAGTAAAAAGCGGTGCTCGCTCATTGCAAGACACGACCAGTGCAGGGGTGGGAGGAAATCCCAAGAGGATTCGTGAATGTGCTGGAAGGGTAGCCAGGATGGCAGATGGATGAGCGGGCAAGGAGCTGCATTTCACACACTGCATTTGACTCTTTAAGTTGTGTGTATAAGTAACTCTGATGTAAAAAAAATTAAATACATGATGGGCAGTTCCTTGAGGTCTGCAACCCCTTGGTCTTGCTGTGGAAAGAATATCAAATTGCAGGTCATGAAGACCTAAGTTCTGATTTTAGGTCTGTTGAAGCTGGGCTCAAGGTCTCTTTGGATCTGTTTCCCCAGGAAAAGTAGAGAGATTTGACCAGGGCAAAAGCTTCCAGATCTGACTGCTCTCCATAAGAAATTGCTGAGAATTTTTTAGACCATCCCCAGCACCACTCCTAGATATTCCAATTCAGAAAGCTCAGCCTGTCCAGGTGCACTGGCTCACATCTGTAATCCCAGCACTTTGGGAGGCTGAGGCGAGAGGATTGCTTTAGCCCAAGGGTTTGAGACCAACCTGGGCTACAGAGTGAGACCTTGTCTCTACACAAAATCAAAAAAATTAGCTGGGCATAGTGGTATGCTCTTATAGTCCCACCTACTCAGAAGGCTGAGGCGGGAGGATCACCTGAGCCCAGGAGGTCAAGGCTGCGGTGAGATGTGATCATGCCACTATACTCTAGCCTGGGTGACAGAGTGAGACCCCAATTCCCCCCAAAAAATAAAAAAGCAAGCCCACCCTAGAAGTCCCTAGAATCTTGTGTTTTATGTGGGGAGTCTTCACAGAGTCAAGGGCCATGGCCAGCACATGTGACCTGAGGGCCAACCAGTCTGGGCTCCCTCTGCTCTTCACAGTCTGTGGTCCCATGCAGTCTTTCCGTGAGGGTGGGGAGGCTGGGACCAGTCACCCCAGACTATCCTTTAGAGCTGCCACAGATCCAGTGGACCAGTTGCGAGAGCGGCCAGGACATAGGCAAGCAAGACACTGGCGCCCCTGTTTCCCCGCTGGCCCTGCACAGAGTACGGCGGCAGTCATCAGAGGTACAAAATCTCCTAGCCCCTCCCCCTGCACGTGGACTGCACCTGGAGCTCAGGCCTGTGAACAGTGAACACAACCGTCCACTTGTCTCAGATCCTTAACCCCAGAAGCTGAGTTGGCTGAAGTGTGACAAGGACTTCTGCTGGCCCACACTACATATCTGGGACCAGAATCCAAGGACTCCCCAGGCCTGCCCAGTCCCTCAGCTCTTGCTGCTAGCCTCAATGCCTGCCAACTTGAAATCACATTAGAAACATTCTTTTGCTTAAAACTTGCTTTGAGGCCAGGTGTGGTGGCTCATACCTGTAATCCCAGCACTTTGGGAGGTGGAGGTGAGAGAACTGTCTGAGCCCAGGGGTTCAAGACTGGCCTGGACAACTTGGCGAGATATCATCTCTACAATACATTTTAAAAAATTAACTGGGCGTGGTGGTGCATGCCTATGGTTCCAACTACTTGGAAGACTGAGGTGGAAGGATCACCTGAGCCCAGCGGGTTGAGGGTGTGGTGGCTGTGAGCATGCTGGCAACAGTGAGACTCTGACTCAAGACAAAAACAAAAGCAAAACCAAAACAAAAACTAAAAACTTGCTTTGAATAACTTGCAGGCAAGGCAAAGCTATTGGAGAAAATGGGCAAGATGGTGTTAAACTGGTCGTACGTTTGTTACTAAGAATAAAACGATACTTGGGAAAGACTTAAAGTTTCATTTCTTAGATATGGTTTCAGGTCCAAAGCTATTCATGTTCTGATGAAGGCAACCTGGCCTCCTCTGCCACTTTCTGAAGTCCCTTTGATCAGAGGCGACCAGTTGGCAGATTCCTTATCCATCCATGACTGTCACCTTCTCCCATCTGCCCTAAACCATTTCCTCCTTAGAAAACTATTACTTAATTAACAATGAGACATCAATGGGCAGATTTTTAGTTTAAAGTATTTTTTTAGGAGGCAGAATAGTGTGGTAGTTGAAGGCATGGACTCTGAAGTCAAATCTGGGTTGAAACTACAGACCTATCACTAACAAGCTGTGTGACCTTGTTAAAGTCACATAACCTCTCTGTGCTTTGGCTTCTTATCCATAAACTACAGATATTGAAACTTTCCATTTGTGATGATGGTGCAGGATGGTATACAGGAAGATTTGGCATAATATCTAGTAGCTATTTCCGTATTTATACATATTTATACCCTTCCTCTTTCAAACCCACTGTACTCTGATCCTCCTCTTCCTTATTATCATGGTTAATACATTTTCAGGATTTATAATCAAACTCAGAAAACCCAGGAGAACATCTTTCAGCCTCCGCTGATTAGCAGGGTTCAAAATGGTGGCTGGGTCAGAGGATTCTGGGAGAAGGGCAAGCTCTACAGCTAATCCCAAGGGACATGGGCTGCCCTGGTGGTTTCTGGAAACAGCACACAGGTGACCCAAAGGCATGAGCTGGGCAAGATGACCCCCGGAGAGGAGGCCAGGAGAAGGATCGAATCCAGGCTCAGGCAGTGGCCTAAGAGTGCAGAATGAAGCAAATTCCCCTGTGGCTCTTGCGCTCCCTCCTGTCCCCTCGTGCTTTGTGTCCCCTGCTGTGTCCCCACCATGTCCCCTCAGAGGCACAGTGCTCACAGATGAGAGCCTCCCGACTGACAGGAGGGTCGCCCTGCAGACCCTTGCAGGCTGAGTTCTCAGATTCTCTGTGTGTCCCTCCTAGGAAATGTGCACGCCACCTGCTACTTATCTGACGCTCTGCCTGCTCCTTAGATGGAAACTTGTGACTATGCTGGGCCCACCCGGATAATCCAGTGTAACCTGTGCAGTCACATCTGCACAGCCCCTTCCCTCCTGAGAAGACATCTTCACAGGTCCTAGGGGCCAGGATGGGATGTCATGGGCCACGGCTCACCCGCCCCAGGGGGCGCTGCTGAGCCCACAGTAAGCTGGACCTGGGGGTGGCTTGCTGGCTATCACAGGGCTGTTGTGTTTTGTTTTTGTATTACGCAAGTGGCGTTTCTGTCTTAGAGCAGGTCTCCTGTGTGGGCCTCGAAGTTTCCACTTGCCATGGCAAGAGAGGCCATCCCAGCCCCGAGTCAGGGCCGTGGGCACAGCTGGGTCCAGGCAGGCTCCAAGCTCCAGGCACATGCAGCCTGGGCTGCCCCTTTGTCACCTCTGCTGCTCTTGCTTGATGTTGCATCAGCCTCCTACAGCTGACAATGTCTTTCTGGCATGGGCACCGTGCCTCCGGAGGGGCTGCCAGGGCCTCCTCTGGTCTGTCCCTTCCACTCGGGACAGGGGCGGAGGGGAAGACATACCCTCAGTCACAGGTGTCGAGGTCCTCCAGGAACCAACTGGAGAAGCAAGGAGCCCCTTCCCTCCTCTGGGGCCCCCTCCCCTCAGCCCTTCCTTTCACGTGACCACGTCCGCCTGGCCCAGGGTAACCGCTGGCTGCCCTAGCCTCCGTCTCATCTAGAGATCAGAGAACTCCTTTGTTGACCTCTGCAGCGAACACTCTGCCTTTTACAAGATGATTTAGGGGAGGAGGCAACACTTATCTCAGAACATAACTGGGTTTAGGCACTGGAACGCCTGACCAAGGAAGGGGGTGACCTCCCAGCTCTCCTGCAAGGTTTACGTCAGAACCCCAGTGGAGAGCCTGGGGCTTTAGGGAACTCAGGAAAGAGTCCTAGCAAGGGATGGGAAAGGTGCCCTCAGGCAGGATTGCTGGGCGTACCCGTGCCATCTCCTCACCAACAGGTCCCCTGTGATCCTGGACATGCCAGGGTCAGAGGACCATGACACTTTCTCTCTGTCACACACACCCTCTGTCCTCAGGGGAGTGAGTCTCTGCCATGGCACTATTCAGAGTACGTCTGGGGCATGTGTGCCTTTGTGCTAGGGACAGAGGTGATCCTGAGTGGGGCAGAAGGGACTGCTCAATTCTACTCCAGGGCAGGGCCCAGTCAACCCTGAGTCCCGCTAAGTATCTACTCACCCCATGCTGGGACCTCTGAAAAGACAACGCCTGAGAAGACACCCCCGTTGACAAGCCATCAAGAACTCTTCACTTACTAATTCTTTCACCCCACAGGGTTTGATTAAACACCCTTCTAGCTGGTGCCAGACCCACTGGGCCCAGGCGCAGGAGAGGTGGGAAAAAGCCTGGAGAATGGCCTCTGTGTGGACAGAGGTGGGCAGGGGGTCTGTCAGCAGCCAGCTGAGTAGGTCAGCACCTGTGTGGTTGTAACGTGGTGAAGGACAAAAACGGCCAGCCCCACTGTGGAGTTCTAGCCAGGCACCCCTGCTGGCACCACAGCAGCCCAGTGCAGGGCATGTACCCTGCCATGGCCCTCACACCCCTGGTGGGCAGCCCTCCCTCCTGCCCGTTCGTCTCCAGAGCCTGTCCTTATAAGGTTGCCCACTCAGGGACGTGCGTCTGTGTCCTCTGGGCAGCTGCCCACTCCACGTCATCTGCTGTTTTACTGCTTAAGATTTCTAACGTATGATTTTATTTTTTTGTCGTTAAGAAAATGTTTCTAGGTTGAGCAGAAACATTAACTGGGTGCCAGATGAGGGCAGAGGGATGGAAGCCAGAGGAGCCAGGGACCCAGGACAGACAGCCTTAGGGCACAGCTGAACCCCAGATTCTAAATGCCCCAGTAGCCAAACAATTTCGAGAACTTCCACAGGCCCTATGCAGCCATTTCCTCTTATTTTTTTTTTTTTTTTGAGTCAGGATCTTACTCCATTGCTCAAGCTGGAGTGCAGTGGCATGATCATGGCTCACCACAGCCTCCAGCTCCTGGGCTCAAGCAATCCTCCTGTCTTAGCCTCCTGAGAAGCTGGGACTACCGTTATATGCCACTATGCCCTGCTAATTTCTCTATCATTTGTAGACACTAGGTCTCACTATGTTGCCCAGGCAGGTCTCAAGCTCCTGGGCTCAAGCGATCCTTTCAAAGTGCTGGGATTAAAGGCATGAACTACCACGTCCAGTCATTTCCTCTTAAGGGACACACAGTGTTGTGGGGGAACTCGTCCTTCCCTGGCTGTGAACCACCTTACTGTGGTCCAGAGATCACACATGCCACCCGCACAGGACCAGCCTGCCTCTGGCATGGAACTTAGAGCCTGGAATACCTCACTCTGGTT